GACGAGAATGGCGGCATCTGCCTGGGATGTGCCGGTGATCATGTTCTTGATGAAGTCACGGTGGCCGGGGGCATCGATGATCGTGAACACGGACTTGGGCGACTCGAACTTCCAGAGCGCAATGTCGATCGTGATACCGCGTTCCCGCTCAGCCTTCAGCTTGTCCAGCACCCAGGCGTACTTGAACGACGACTTGCCGATCTCAGCCGCCTCCTTCTCGAACTTCTCAATCGTACGCTTGTCAATGCCTCCGCACTTGTAAATGAGGTGGCCAGTGGCCGTGGACTTACCGGCATCGACGTGGCCGACCACCACGAGGTTCATGTGCACCTTCTCCTTCCCCATCGCGCTTGGTTTACCTTGTGGGCTAAACAAACAATTAAAAGCTGTGTCGCAGACCTAGTGCCCACGGCAGCGAACGCAGGGAGAGGCAACGACATCATAAGGGCCCAGTGGCACACTGACATGGAGAACACAGACACACACACACAGGGAGGGGAAAAGAGAGAGGGAGGGGCGCAGCCAAACCAAACTAGCAGAAATATCATAACCGTACAGCTCCGCAATATCATTAGAATAAAATAAATAATAAAATTATAAAACAAGATCTGCGCACAACCTTTACCCTCGACTTACTTCTTGGAGGCCTTTGCAGCGGCCTTGGTCACCTTGCCGGTGCCGCCCTCCTTCTTCGTCACCGCCTTGATGATGCCGACAGCAACTGTCTGGCGCATGTCACGCACGGCGAAGCGGCCGAGGGGCGCGTAGTCATTGAACACCTCCACGCACATGGGCTTCTGCGGCACCATGCGCACGAGGGCGGCGTCACCGGACTTGATCGACTTGGGGTTCTTCTCAAGCTCCTTGCCAGAGCGGCGATCGATCTTGGACTCGATCTCCGCAAACTTGCACGCGATGTGGCAGGTGTGGCAGTCAAGCACCGGCGCGTAGCCGTTGCCGATCTGGCCGGGGTGGTTCAGGATGATCACCTGCGCCGTGAAGTCGGCCGCCTCCTTCGGGGGGTCGTTCTTCGAGTTGCCGCACACGTTGCCACGACGGATGTCCTTCACAGACACGTTCTTCACGTTGAAGCCGACGTTGTCGCCGGGCGTGGCCTCAGCCAGCTGCTCGTGGTGCATCTCGATCGACTTCACCTCTGTCGTCACGTTGGCGGGAGAAAACGTGACCACGTCGCCAGGCTTCATCACGCCCGTCTCCACGCGGCCCACCGGCACGGTGCCAATGCCGCCGATCTTGTACACGTCCTGCAGGGGCAAGCGCAGCGGCTTGTCGCTGGGGCGCACCGGCGGTTCCAGCATGTCGAGTGCCTCCAGCAGGGTGGGGCCCTTGTACCACGACATATTGTCAGACTTCTCGATCATGTTGTCGCCCTGCCACCCGGAGATGGGGACGAAACGCACCTTCTCCACGTTGTAACCGACCTTCTTCAGGTACGCCGACACCTCCTTCACGATCTCCTCGTAGCGCGCCTGGCTGTAGTTCACCGACTTCTCGTCCATCTTGTTGCAGCACACAACCATCTGCTTCACACCGAGCGTGAAGGCAAGCAGCGCGTGTTCGCGTGTCTGACCGTCCTTCGAAATACCCGCCTCAAACTCGCCCTGCGCGGACGCAATGACGAGAATGGCGGCATCTGCCTGGGATGTGCCGGTGATCATGTTCTTGATGAAGTCACGGTGGCCGGGGGCATCGATGATCGTGAACACGGACTTGGGCGACTCGAACTTCCAGAGCGCAATGTCGATCGTGATACCGCGTTCCCGCTCAGCCTTCAGCTTGTCCAGCACCCAGGCGTACTTGAACGACGACTTGCCGATCTCAGCCGCCTCCTTCTCGAACTTCTCAATCGTACGCTTGTCAATGCCTCCGCACTTGTAAATGAGGTGGCCAGTGGCCGTGGACTTACCGGCATCGACGTGGCCGACCACCACGAGGTTCATGTGCACCTTCTCCTTCCCCATCGCGCTTGGTTTACCTTGTGGGCTAAACAAACAATTAAAAGCTGTGTCGCAGACCTAGTGCCCACGGCAGCGAACACAGGGAGAGGCAACGACATCATAAGGGCCCAGTGGCACACTGACATGGAGAACACA